TGTTGTTATGATTCATATACGTCATTGATTAGTTTTAATTAGTTTTATCTTTCAAGTAGTTGTAAGTACATACTGTCTTGCTTAAATAATTGAAAGCTGTCTGAAATTGATATAAATAATAATTTAAATATCGCTTTAAAAGCTATTTTAATAATTCAAACTATTTTAATAATTCAAACTGTTAAAACGGATTTCAAATTCGATAATATTTTTCATTTATTTTTTTTTTATTAAAAAAAAATAGAACACATATATTGATTATAACATATGAAAAGAGGTTGTGGAGAAGTATTTTTGCATAAAATTACAAAGTACAAAAACTTAATTTTAAGAGTTGGTGGTAACTCGAAAAAAATGGATTTTTCGATAATTGTCTGTAGGTAGACATAAGTATTGTAGACATAAAAATGAGATGCAACTTTTGTTTAAACTTTTTTTTTGTATCTCTCACCGTTCTGGACTTATTACGCGAAAAAAACAAATCTGCATTTTTTTCAAGGGGTGATATCACCCTTTCAAACCAAAATATGGCACGAAAAAAAAATAGTTTTGTGTTACGGATAAACTATTTTACTTGCACAAATTTTTTCTGAATTTTCGGATTGCCTAACCTCCCTTGTAAGACGTACCGGCGTACATCTCCTCCCTCGCGTCTCTGATTTAGATTTGGATTCTACTATTCGACCAACCGTCTATTCTTCTCAGAAACGACCGGCGGTGAGCACCTGTCGGATTTGTCGCCGCTTTGCAACGATTTTTAGCGACGTTCCAGCACCTGCCCGAACCGCCGTCACTTTACCGTTGAGTCATCTCCGTGTTCTATCGTTGCTCACGACGATAGAAAGAAAACTTAGAATCGAGAAACGCGAATAATTGTTCTTTACATTAATTTTTTTACTATATAATTGTCAGTTACGACACTGTGTTTGTCCCTGATTTCGAGGATAGCCGCCGAGATTCGTTAATATATAAATAAATGTTTTCAAGTTGCCTCTCGCATTTTCGCCTAATAATATGATTAAATACTTTAACCGAGAAACATCGACTAACTATCGCCAACAAGGACCTTCACAAGCTGCAACAATGTTTCGTTGTTGGCAACATATGTATCTTCTATCTTATAGAAAATCTCACTACTCCTTACTTTGCTTGATATATTCAAATAACTTAATGGTTTTGAGATTTCTAATGTCCCCAGATTTTTGAGAGTGTTAAGTTATTCATGATGCTTGGTATACACTTCGAAATAGAAGCATCAACGCACAACAATTTGTTTCCTATATATTGTTATTTACCGTTTCACAAAGTTTCGCGTGACTTCTAACTGACATTATGGTTTCGCGTCACTTGAAGCTTATCTCGCCGACAAGTCTGTTTACGACTTTTAATTTTTCACAATTTTAAAGAACAAAAACAATTTATATGAAATAACGTTTTCTCTCGCGGCGATGAATAAATGACAAATGAAGTTCACGTAATAGCGTCGATGTGAAGGACAGGAAGGAATAAAACACGGACTCAAAACAGAGTCTTCCAGGTGCCTTCTGTTCTGAATCACTACAGATCGTTGCAGTCAACTCCAATGGGTACTCCGCGCGTTAAAACTTGACGAATTTCTTTAAATTCCGCGAAATTCACTGAATATGGCTTTGAATAAGAATCGCTGAGTCGAGTCACGTGCACTCGTTGACCCCTCGTTGTCAGTTCCGACGTGTCTTTTACAACTCACAGTGATAGATAGAATCACCGTCGATACGATAATTGCGTTCGAAAGAAGAGGGGAGAAGAAAGGAAGGAAAATGCAACACGCCGTTGCTTCGATCGTTGCTCTCGTTAAGGACGACAGAACGTGCCGCGGATATGCACGACGCGGGAAACGCGCGCGAACCCAAACTTGGCGCGTGTCGTCGTCGTTTTGAAACTCGTCGAAATTCGTCGGTTGAGACGAACCGTTGATCGTACACGAGCGGGCGAGGAAGTACAGAGAGAGAGAGAGAGAGAGAGAGAGGGGAAAAGAGAGAAAGTGGTAGTGCGGTGGTGTAATGCGAAAGCGTAATGCAGAGCGAAACGTACGGAAAGGAAGAAAACCCGAAAGCGGAATACTCTAGCGGCTTAAGCTATTTTCGTTGTTCATTGTTATAAGCTTTTATATTAAAGAACGAATTTCTCCACGGACGAGTGTTGTGCTTTAGCGCGCCGAATTCGAGATACGATTGCGTGTTTCGAAAGAATGCGAGTGTCAGAGAGCGACAGCTGGAGAGAAAAAGAACGCGCGTGTAAAAATGTATAAGAACGAGTGAGTGAGTGAGTGAGTGAGCGTGTATGTATTGTGTGTGAGAAAGAGAGAGGAAGAGGAAAGGAGAGAGATATACCAATGCGTGTGATATACCTTGCTTATACTGTAATTAATTGCAGCTGCATGGATTATCGCGATCGGAGCACAGCGTGCAAGTACGCGCCGCCTGATCGCGTATACAATGACCTGCGGTTTCTTTTTTTTTGTTGATACACGGTTACGTTTATACGTTGAACAGCGTTTTTCCCCTTCCTCGTTGATCCGCATATCAATGCTGCCGCCACCATCTGCGTCCGATCAAGAGCGATAATTATCTGCCATCTTTCGTCGAACATTTTGCTGAACGAAAAGTTCATTGTTACGTCGACGATGAACGGTGAAATGGACAGCATTAACCACTGTGTCGCTCCATCTCAAGAGGTCGTTCTTCGCGATTTGAATTTTCCTGGGACGACGGGAAGCTACTTCGATTGGTCGCGGCGCGACAAGTACGATTTCAGGTATAAAGAATTATTGTGCGAATAATTAATATCGCATCCGCACACATACACGTTGACTATATGAATATTATCTATATTAATTCTTTCTATATTAACCTTAGAATCCTAAATATTAGGAAGAAAAACATCGAGGAATATGAATCTATTAATGTTTTCGTGAGTCAATATAGATGAAAAAAGTTACAACGGGATTACAAAACACATGTTCTTAAGAACGATGTCGTTGTGGTGCGGGTGAATTTTATGCATATTTAGAGTTCTAGGGTTAACGTCACTCTGCTGTTGCACACACAGCGGATGTATTTCAAAATTACTTGGCTCGGAAGCATGATCTGTTCGCCTGGATTTATCGAGATCTTCCCTCGATTCCTCCCCGCAGACCTCTGTGGCCTTTTTTTGTTATCTTATTACTACGCGAGCGTCAAGTGGTTGACTTGTCCCTTTCGGCCGCACGAAAACCGAAATAAATACGCGAATTCTCGTGTTGGAAACAGCAGCGACGGTAGCAGCGATAGCTAGCTCGACGTAATAACGTTAACGTCACACCTGCCGTTCGCGGGAGCGCGGACGCGCACTTGCTATCGAATAGTTTAATTGACAGGATGCCAAATGCCAAATGTTAGCTCTAAGTAGTCGCGTAGTGAATTACTCGTCTTAACTAACGAGCTCTCTCGCGGACTGCTCGCATCGCATCGCTCGCAGGGCAATTTCAAAGATTCGCACCTTCGTCCGACGAGGGTCGGCTGAGGGGACGTAAGAAAAGGAAGAGAGAAAGAGAGGGGTCGCGATGGGCCGTATCCCGAGAATCCACGGCACAAAGAAGTAATTTGTAAACCAACAAAACTACATCGATGTACGCGAACATTCGAACCGCAACACAGTGTATAACACTGATTTCAAATCAAAGGTCTGAGAAACTTTGAAAAACAGAGCGCGAGAAAGCGTGTGCTTTCGGGAGAAATTAAGTTCAAGATAGGAAGGTTGGTCTTCGTTCTATTAGCGGTCGGTAAAATCGAAACACTGTTGCTGTGAAAAAAAGAGAAGAAATAAAACCTCGTAAAAGTGAAGTACATGTACGAATCTAATGACGTTTTCTTTTTACATAATAGTGAATTGAATATTCCACTACAACGTTAATCCTTTTATCGCCTCCCGAGAGAGAGGTCTTTGATTCTTTTTTAAAAATTGTGCAATATGAACGCAAGCTCTGAAGCAACTTTTATCGTTGTAATTAGAATTAGATACGTTTACCGGTAAACGCTACTCTCTTCAGGTTATTTCTGAGAGAAATTCTTTTCGTTTCGGTTGTATGAACTCGATCGCACTGGCCGTACACGTCGCCGAAAATGCGGGCTGAAATAATTCGCACCCTGCTCCGTATTTCCATCATTATAATAAAAGCCAGCGCCGAGGAGTGAATAATGAAACACGAGGCTACAACGTAGCGTCGATATCCGAAATTTCTAACTTCGCTCGAAACCCGTTGTTATTATTATTATTATTATTATATTATTATTATATTATTATTATTACTATTATTATTAACACGAATTTTATAGTAAAACATGTTATTCCCGATAATATTCGATTTCTATGTACGATTTCGATAATAATTTTCATGGTGTCGGTGAAATCTTTTTAAGCGGGAATTGTTCG